TAACAAGGGACTAACAATGATTCGTAGGGGGTAACGGAGGACAACATATATAAATCTTTTTAAGTCGCACACGTTTGCAGCCGATGAGTTTTTTTTCCAGCTGTAGGCTTAGACGTGTTCCAGACGGCATTCACTCGGCTTGGCTTGATGACGTCAGTTTTTCCAGAACTGCTTCGAGTCACAGCGTCACACTACCACCGCCTGGCCGGATTGGCCCATCGCAGGCTTCTTAATGCCGAAGAGATCTTTCCAGGCTTACGAGCTTACGAGCTGGACATTCCGTTTCGCCGGCTAACACCTCCCCCCACTAGGGGGGTTTAGTGTGCCCACCCTCTCTAAGGAGTGGTACCCATTTTATCTACTCGCCGAAGCTTTCGAACCGCTGGGTGGACGGCGAGCTGGGGACAAGGCTGGTAGCTCACACCAGCGCGGGCTAGAACTGACAGCAGCTCTGTTCAGATGTTACTGTAACCAGAGGATAAATCCTCTGTGCCACCGCTCCCCTCTCCTCCCTCTGTGCCTCCGCTCCCCTCTCCCATAGAGAGCCAGTTTGGTGTAGTGGTTAAGTGTGCGGACTCTAATCTGGGAGAACTGGGTTTGATTACCCACTCCTCCACATGCAACCAAGCTGGGTGACCTTGGGTCAGTCACAAGCTCTGGTACAGCTGTCCTTGAAAAAGAGCAGTTTGTGTCAGAGCTCTCTCAGCCCCACCCATCTCACAGGGTGTCTGTTGTGGGGAGGGGAAGGGAAAGGAGTTTGTAAGCCGCTCTGAGACTCCAAGTAAAGCGCGGGGTATGAATCCAATCTCTTCTTCTTCTTCTTCTTCCTCTGTGCCACCGCTCAGAAGTAGTATTTTTGCTCACAAGACTCCACAGTTTAGAGGGAGCATTGTATGGTAACCCTATCTGGGAGCCGGGATGACCCTCGGGTCCCTAATGATCGAACACTTGGAATCAACATGAGGCTTGCAGCTGCGTGGTCCTTGAAGCAGGCCGAAGCAATTGGCTGCACAAAAACCGCAAAGTGGAGAATCTCTTCCCCTAAAGCAGCCTGTGACGGGAAAGAAAATGCAGGCTGTTTAATTCCACCCCGACTCTTCTTTGGACCAGACCAGCCTAAGTTCTCTATCTGGGCCAAAGCAGACCTCCAGTTGCACAGCTTGCTTTCTCTCGCTCTACAAAACCCACCGGCCCCTCTCTCTGCAAAGTGTTCAAAAGAGGCTCAGATCTGCTTTCTAAGCAAGGCAGCTGAAAAGACCATTTCTGAGCATTTGTTAATGTGATTTTTCTTTTTGGAAAGGGGGAAAAAAGAGAGAGAGAGAAAGCCCATAAAAAGGAGGAGAATAGGTCCAAATTGGATTATGTGAACTAATGTTTTATCCAGCCTCTGTTGCATTCCTTCTGAGAGAATCGCACATCATTAAAATGAAATTAGCCCAGCTGCAGCATCTTGCGGATTTGAAGGGATTTATTCGACCCTGTGTGGGAGGGGGAATACTAGAGAACGCACCAGCCCCGGTGGCTGTTCTGTTGTAACATCTTGATGTCAGTTCTGGGATGCATTGGAGATTCAGGCCAAATATTTCCAAAGTCCACTGATTCTTTTCTTAGCACGAAGGCTCTAGTATCCTTGGTGGAGGGAGGGAAGACAATGGACAACGTGTCCGAAGTAATTTGGGGTGACCTCCTTATAGAACACAGAAACATAGAGCTGGAAGGGATTACAGGGGTCATCAGTCCAACACCCTGCACAGTGCAGGAAATTCACAGCCACGCCCCCCTCCCACTCCCCCAGTGGCCCCTGCTCTGTGTCCAGAGGAAGGCAGAAATCCTACACTAACTCAGCTTAGAGGGAACACTGTTCCTGACCCCAAAGTGGCAATCGGCATTACCCCGGGGGATATAAGAAAGGCCCACAAGAGCTGAGCACCACCTAGGTTAGGGGGAAAGCAAGTGCCTCGCTTGAACAGCGAATTCGCCGCTGGCAGGGCAGGCATGCACGGTCCCCGCTTGAAAAGAGCAGGTGCCCCGCTCGCCTGCCCTCAAAGGTGCCAATTTGCCACTTTCGGCAACGCAAGCCAATTCAGGAGTCATTCAGCCAGCCGAATCACTTTCGGCCTGGGGCACCCGGGCAAGCCAAGGAAGGCAGTTTAAACTGCCTTCCCTCCGAGGGCTGGCTTGCCTGGATGCCCCGCAATGAAGGGAGCATGCCGCCTCTGCAGCACGACTGGAGGTTTAAAAATTAAACACCCCCCCAGTTGCGCCACAGAGGAGGCACACTCCCTTCATTGAAGGGAAGGCAATTTGCCTTCCCTTCAGTGAAGGGAGCCCGCTGCCCTCCAAGGTAGCCCCTCCTGCCTTCCCCGGCCTTCCCTGGCCCACCCACTCCTTCCCCTCACCCAGGGGAAATGCCTCCCCATGCCTTCCCCTCGCCCAGCAAAGGGCTTCCCCAAATCAATGCCGAATATACGGCATCTATTTGGGGAATCCCTGTTTGGCCAGCCAAATCAGATTAGAGTATCTGATTCAGCTTTAAGGTAAAGGTAAAGGTTCCCTTGTTCGAAAGCCAGTTGAATCCAACTCTAGGATTGTGGTGCTCATCTCCGTTTTAAAGCTGAAGAGCCAGCGCTGTCCGAAGACGTTTCCGTGGTCATGTGGCCGGCATGACTACACACCAAGGCGCACGGAACGCTGTTACCTTCCCACCGAAGTGGTACCTATTTATCTACTTGCAATTTCTTGCTTTTGAACTGCTAGGCTGGCAGGAGCTGGAACTAGAGACGGGAGCTCACTCCTTCATGCGGCAACCCGGGTCTCGAACTGTTGAACTACCGCCCTTCCACAGCCTGCAGTTCAGCGTCTTAACCACTTGAGCCACTGCAGCTCCTGTATTCAGCTTTAGCCAGGCCCAAATAATGCCGAATAGGCATTATTCGGGGGGGGGGGGGTTGGTTGGTTCATCCGAACCGAATGCACATCCCTAGTTGTAATCCCAGGAGATCTCCAGTTACCACCAGGCAGTTGGCAACCCCAAGGCAGAGGGCATTGGCTCCCAATTTGTTTCTGGGCCCACTGCAGGGTGCTGCTTCTGACCTTTAAAGCCCTGAACAATTTGGGGCCCATTTCAACTGCTGTGGTCATCTTCAGGTGCCTCCATTCCACCGAGGCTGCATGGGTGGCAATGGGAGACAGGGCCTTCTCGGTCATGGCCCCAAAATTATGGAACTCCTTCCCCAGGGATATATGTCCCTTGCTGTAACTGTTTCCCGCTAGCAGTTGAAGACTTCCTTGTTTCACCTGCCATTCCCCGCACCATCCCTCCCTCCTGCCTCAAGTTTCAATGGTTGGTTCTGTCTCCTGCTCTTATAATGTTCTGTTTTTCATTGTTGGCCATCTTGCTAGCCCTAATTGGGTAGAGAGGTGGAATATAAATTTTGTAAAGAAATGTGTCTGACAACATTGATAGATACAATAAAAATGCAACTTAAATCAGATAGGCAGATAGTAACCAACTGTAACTCAGGGCAGTCTCAAATCTGATGGTCCACCTCATTCATGGGTGTGGGCCACGAACTTCATTCCACACCTCTGGCCACAACCAAATATATTTCCAGGCTCAGGAAGAACAGATCGACAGTACAGGACTGCGGCAGGCAGCAGGGATGTTCTTCCCACTCTGCCTCCTTTGCTCCAAACGGTATCAATCCAGTTCTTTCCTCTGATGAATGGGAAAGATGCCTGTGAATGCTCATGTTAAAATAAGCCTGTTAAGATTTTCTCCTGAAGCGACTGTAGGCGTCGTGGCTTGTCTTCAGATACCAAGGAAGAAATTATTCCTATTCAAACAATGTTTTGTAACGCGCTCAGTGTTACAATGGTATGCAGTCACTTAGCTCGCTCGGGTGAAATATGTGAACATAAGAACATAAGAGACGCCAATGTTGGATAAGGCCAAAGGCCCATCTAGTCCAACACTCTGTCACACAGTGGCCAAAAATACCAGGTGCCCTCAGGAGATCCACCAGTGGGGCCAGGACATTAGAAGCCCTCCCACTGTTAGCCCCCCCAAGCACCAAGAAGACAGAGCATCACTTGCCCCAGAGCCCCTATCTATACCTTGTGGCTAATAGCCACTGATGGACCTCTGTTCCATATGCCTATCTAATTCCCTTTTGAAGCCGTCCATGCTTGTGCATCGACAGTGTTCAGAATCCAGATGCTGGACCTGTATACAACACCCCCAGCCCATAGTGGTGGGACGTGCCACCAAGCTGCAGTACACTTATGGCAACCCCATATGGTTTTCAAGATAATTGACGGTCAGAGGTGGTTTGCAATTGCCTGACTCTCCATAGTAACCCTGGAATTCCTTGGTGGTCTGGTCTCCAATCCTAATAACTAACCAGGGTCAACCCTGCTTAGCTTCAGAGATAAGGCTAGCCTGGGCCATCCGGGTCAGGGCCCTCAACCCCTACTGTTGGCTTAATCAAAACAGATCTTTATAATACAAGAGATGGCATTTGTTTCTGCCATCTGTCTTCAGTTGTGTGCAACTCAAGACCGAGTTCTGTGCTCCCCGTTATAGTCCATCGATGACAAGGAAAAGGGGAGGGCACATTCCTTGCTGGCGTTCTTCTACTGAGGCCACCAGTCCACGAGAAGCCATCACTCACCCTCACTCAGCAGAATCTCTCTCACTGCTTCCCTCACAGCCATGGTGTTGCTCTTTGTGGTGTGGATGAAACGTCGGGAAAAGGAGCGGCACACGAAACAGCTCCTCATCGACCCCGAGGATGATGTGCGGGACAACATTCTGAAATACGACGAAGAAGGAGGGGGAGAAGAAGACCAGGTAAGGAGAGCTTCTTCTCTGGAGGACCAGACCAACTTCTGATGAGCTTAGGTGGCCTTAAATAACCACGGGAGTCCCTCCCGTCAGCAGCCTTCCACAAAAAGCACCTACGCTTCAACAGTGAGGTTATTTTTCATTCTGGCGATAAAATCCAACTTTGACTCAGATAATAGTGAGTTCAAACCTCTACGTTTGCAAACCAAAGAAGGTCCAATTAAGTCTAGAAATTATCATTACAGGTAATAGTACGTGGTGAGACGGAACTTTATGCTGAGGCTAATAGAGAATAATGCTAGGCAGCCTAAACCCCACCACAATTTACAGACCCACACACACTATTACTTATATCTCATACATTCTCAGGAATGATACAACTTGGACTGGCTGGTTCCAAACATATTCTAGCTGCATCTGCAGTCTTAGAAAAACGCCAATACACACCAAAATACACTGATTTTTGCAACGTTCTGAGTGTAGTATTACTGTTGTATCCCTATCCTCTTATGTTTAGTAGTATCAGGAATGATACAACTTGGACTAGCTGGTTCCAAACATATTCTAGCTGCATCTGCAGTCTTAGAAAAACACCGATACACACCAAAATATACTGATTGTTGCAACGTTCCGAGAGTGTAGTATTACTGTTGAATCCCTATCCTCTTATGTTTAGTAGTATCAGGAATGATACAACTTGGACTGGCTGGTTCCAAACATATTCTAGTTGCATCTGCAGTCTTAGAAAAACACCGATACACACCAAAATATACTGATTGTTGCAACGTTCCGAGAGTGTAGTATTACTGTTGAATCCCTATCCTCTTATGTTTAGTAGTATCAGGAATGATACAACTTGGACTAGCTGGTTCCAAACATATTCTAGCTGCATCTGCGGTCTTAGAAAAACACCAATACACACCAAAATATACTGATTGTTGCAACGTTCCGAGAGTGTAGTATTACTGTTGAATCCCTATCCTCTTATGTTTAGTACCCTCCCAAATCCACGTCCAGGCCAAAATGGTCCCAGGTGAGGGATAGGGTATCTCCCGGATATACAGGCCTCAGACGCTGTTGTGGCAACTGCAGTGCAAGCAGACCCTTCCTTTACCTCCCTGAGGGTGGAGAGGACAGCCTGGAGGATCAAGGAAACACCACAGATTATGGCAAGGCAGAAGAATCGAGATAGGGGGTTCAGGGAAACAAGGGTTGCCAACTCTGGGTTGGGAAATTCCTGTAGATTTGGGGGGCAGAGTCTCGAGAGGGCAGGGTCTGGGGAGGGAAGAGAAGAGAAGAGAAGCAACCCCAGCAGGATATAATGCCACAGAGTCCACCCTCCAAAGCAGTCATTTTCTCCAGGGGAGCGGATCTCTGTAAATGGGAGATGAGTTGTACTTCCAGGTGATCTCCAGTCCCCACCTGCGGTTGGTAACCCTATATCACTTCAAGGCGACAATATCTCTTCTCAGGCCTGGCACCGCATGCCAGGGCAACTGGGACTTAATTCAGAGTCCAGATTACAGCCATCCGGGAAATGAAAGGGGCTCTTCTAATTCCAAGTGGGGTTGTTGATCTCAACAACCAATAGCTGGTCTTGAAGGTAGGGGAATGGGGGGAGGGGCTGGGCCATGTTGCATCCTCACATCCCATTCTCAGCCATCAAGTGCTTGAATGTGGACTGGGTAACTGATCACCAAAAGAGCCATGCTCTGTTATCCTGGCTCCTGAGTACGCCTTGTCCTCCTCCTCTGCCAACAGATTGCACTGAAATGCTGTCATTTTGGGAGGGGGGGAAGGGAGAAAGTTCACACTCTTTGGGTATAGATTCTTGCACCCGTGGAAGAACCCCCAGTGGCTCCAAGCCAATAGCTTTCCATGTCATTTTGAAATTACTATCAGTAGCAGGGTGGCTCGTTTTACGTCTCTGTATCTATTGTTTCGCGGGAATATCTATCCCCCGCGTTCTTCAGAGCCTGCCCCATGGTGGGCCGTTCCACCAGGGTGACATCAAAATGCCTGACTCCACGTGCCCCGAGCGACTCTTCTCCCATTCCCCTTGGACTCGAGCCAATCAGGTCATTTATATGCCCGGATAGCGTAGAAGCCACTCGAAGATTTTCAGGGGAAATCTGCTTGATCCTCACTGCCTGCTTCTCCATTTGTTACAGGATTATGATTTAAGCCAACTTCAGCAGCCAGAGAGCATGGATCATGTTCTGAACAAGGCAAATGGAGTCAGACGAGTAGACGAGAGACCAATTGGCGCTGAGCCCCAATATCCTATAAGGCCTGTAATCCCCCATCCTGGGGACATTGGGGACTTTATTAATGAGGTAGGTTCTGGCAGGCTTTCCCTGTTTTACCTCTCCCGGTTTGTATAACCAGCAAGGGCCATTCAGGCAGTTAAGACAAAGAGAGTGCGTATAGGGTATATACACATACATTAAGCGGGGGCCTGCTGATTGTTGCCTAGAACAAATTATGGCTTTCGTTTATCATCATTGTATTGCACTTAGGCCTGCCAAAAGCTCATTGGTAACCGGATCCAAAGAACAGCGAGACATGTAAAGGAATTTGTGGTTTTCAGTGTGCTCCTAAGCAGAGTCACACACTTCTAAGCCCTTTTGTCTTCAGTAGACCTAGGAGGTGATAACTCTGCTCAGGAGGGCAGAGCGTGATTCTCAAATAATCGTGCTCCACGATGCATTGTAGACCCGTTTCTGAAACACAGAGGGGTCTCAAAAACAGTCTGGGATCTGGCTTGGGATCCTCTGCTGCTCTAAATGAGGAGGAAAAGACCCAGTAGACAGGCCCAAGCCCTTGGAGGCATCTAAAGTCCTTCTTTGTACCTCGGCCGTTGATCCCAGGTGGCCTCTTGGGAATTCCCTGCATTCTGCAGGGGGTTGGACTAGATGACCCTGGAGGTCTCTTCCGACTCTATTATTCTAGGTAGTATAGAGTGCCAGACCTGCTTAAGTTTAACAGTGCAATTCACAAAAACAACATCCGTGACAAAAATAACAGAGTCAATAAAGATAAGTTGCAAAAACGTTTACTGTAGTAATTCTGTAGAAAACTTTCTTCTATTATCGCTCACATGCCAACAAATACTGTGCAATGAAAACAATTTGTTTCACAATATTTGCTTTATCTGAGCGTGCAGCAATCCCAATTCTTATCAATGACTACTTATCAACTCTTGAAGGAAACATTCCATGTTGACTCTCTAATAACAGAACCCCTCAAGGTCTTCACAAGGTCTTCTACTAAGTTTAACAGTGCAGCTGTGTTATGTGACAGTCTCTGGACTGTCACATATCTATTTATTTACTTTTAATCCATTTACCTCTTTATATGCCGGATTTCCAACTGGTCACCCAAGTCAGCATCCGGACGCACCATAATGCTGGCCATCGAAACACCCACTAAAATGTAGTAACAGCGACTTAATTCCATCAGAATAGCAAACAAATCAGTTTCCCTGTGAAGTGGTGAACCGATGGTGAAGCTGGCCATTACAAGCTTGGAGAAGAGGCTGTTGTTAGGGTGTAAGCTGGGGTCCCCGACATGGATCCTTCCCTGGTGCCCCCCCTAGTGTTCTTAGAATGTGGGTTGGGCCATGGGGGGCTCTTGCCCAGCCAGACTTCTAATTAGCCACTGGAGAACTGATTGGCTGTACAGATTAAAATACTGTTGTTTCAGCCGCAGGTGCCACTATAGTGTTGGCTTTATCCTCTTTCTTTCACTCATCTTTCCCAGTGTTTTTTTTTTTAATTACCCCTCTCCTCCCCATGGGCGGGTTTCCTAAGCCATTTCTGGAGAAGAGGCTGTTGTTAGGGTGTAAGCTGGGGTCCCCGACATGGATCCTTCCCTGGTGCCCCCCCTAGTGTTCTTAGAATGTGGGTTGGGCCATGGGGGGCTCTTGCCCAGCCAGACTTCTAATTAGCCACTGGAGAACTGATTGGCTGTACAGATTAAAATACTGTTGTTTCAGCCGCAGGTGCCACCGTAGTGTTGGTTTTATTCTCTTTCTTTCACTCATCTTTCCCAGTGTATTTTTTTTTTTAATTACCCCTCTCCTCTCCATGGACGGGTTTCCTAAGCCATTTATGCACTATCATTTTTGCCATTCGTTTGTCCCTATTGCTTTGGGTCCCCGTCCCCCCCTTTTCCACATGTGTTTTGCTCCCTCTGGGATTACTAGAGAGAGCAAAACACATTGGTGGGGGGGGAACCCTGAAGCGATAGGGACAAATGAGTGACAAAAATGGCAGTGTGGAAGTGGCCCTAAACTCTGCCTCCTGAGGCAGCCATTTTGTAGTGGGGGCGGGGCTGTTTTTGTAGCAGGTACTCATTTGCATATTAAGCGACACACCCCTAATGTAGCCAATCCTCCAAG